CTATGTTCAAAGAATTGAAAATAGAATAGATCCAGTTTTTATAGATCGAGTTTACTTTTAGCTTCTACACAAGTGTCCTTCACTCAACAATCCAGCTAATTAGTTAAAGGGACACTAGCATCCTTGACCTAAAACGCATCAAGTTAATTTTGAAGACTCAAGCTTTAAAAATAGAATTGAACAAACTTCATTCGCCAACTATGTGTGATGTGACAAACTCCTCGTCTAATAAGTTGTGAAAAACCAAGCTTTATGAACCCCATATAATAAGTTATGGGAATCCAAGCTTCATGAAAAGAACCTAGTTTCGTTCGCAGCAACGTGGGATAACTCTCCTTGCTAGAGTATGGGGTATGCTCACCCAAGCTTTTATAAAATAGTGAACCCATGCTACCCATGCTCTATTCACTAGCAGTATGAGTTATGACAAACTCTTCTCGCTAGCAATGTAAAATGTGAAAAGTCCCCACCTTATGCTCATGAGATGGTCACACTACACCATCCCTAACTAGGGATGGGCGTTTGACCCACCCCGTACTCCCCAAAATAGTAGGCAATGGGGTCAAGGATGGGGCACTAGGTAATTCCCCGACTCCAAGGACGGGGTGAGGACAAGGGTAGGCAATTAAAAATTTAAAATTTTTTTCGTTTATTATATTTTATATTTAAGAATATATATTTTAAGTTATGTATCAAAATTTGTGATTGTTATCTTAAATTTATTATTATATATTTTACTTGTGGAATAAAAGTACCTTGAGATGAAATGGTATGAATAATATTAACTTATACTCTTATAGATGATAGTTTAATTCATTTACTTATGTTTTATTCTTTTTATTATATTTCTTAATTCTTATTGTTACTTTGTTATACATATTATTGGTTTCTTTAATAAAAAAAATTAATATTACATTAAATATTTTATTTTTATTCAATGCTTTACAAAATTACAAATTACGAAAGCTTGATGTATGATGCATCTCTAATTATATTAATAATTTCTCATTATTTAAACTTCCAAATTAACAGGTAATTAATAAAATAATTGTGTTATGCTTACCATATTTGATTATGACAAAAGAGTGTTATCAATCTTGTAAGTATTTTTAATTTTGATAGATAATAATTAACATAATATAGTTTTGTAACCATTTAAAAAAAAAATCATCAAAGTCATACTGGGAATTCAAAATCCGCATACGGGGCTAGGACAAAGATCATCCCATCCCCGCAGGGTGGGGATGGGGATTCCCCGACATCCTTATGCTCATGAGTTGGTCACACCACACCATCCCTAACTAAGTAGATAACACCAACAAAGATGCTTTTAGGTTTTACACAAGCCTTCTTCACCTGAAACAAATCTACTTAGTTATGGAGACCAAAAACCTTATAAATTGAACATACACTCTATTTGCCAGCAATGCAGTGTGTAACAAAAATAACACACAATGCTGAAATTTTCGAGATAACATCTGTTACTTTTTAAAAACAAAAACAAAAAAAAATACTATTATCAAATTGTATTTTCGTTCTTAAGAAACTTTTTAGAGATGCATTATCAAATCTGAAAAATACGAAGTTCAATTTTTGGTTTCGATTTGACAAATTTTTTTTTTCAAAAATAATTAATTACGTAAAACTTAGTGTATATAATTGGGCTTCTAGCATTCCTAAATTTTAGAATTAATTGTTTCCAGCAGAATTTATCGGATAAATTCCTAACCACCTTTCGAAAAATGAATTTCTAACATTATATTATGGAGAATTTATTTGCATGTGATCATTTGAAGTTTGTCTTAGAAAGCAACTTCATGGAAGACCGACTGCATCACAAAACATTAGTTAGGATTAAGTACCAGGAAACACTAAAAAATTTGGAACATAGAAGAAGATAAAACCTTACAATAACATTTAATTTGTAATACAATCTCCACTAGAAAGGATAAAAGAGGAATCAATAAAGATAGACTCACAACCCAATCTTACAAACTTTCTCTCACAATCCTAACATGACAACTCACAATTAAGCAAGCAAGACCCATTATTGGGTAGACGAAACTCACTGTGAGAAAAACATCAAGATTGTGAAAAAAAAAGTTTGTGAGATTAGATTGCAAATATAGTGTTACCCAAAAAGAATAATGCGATTTTGGTAAACCAATTCTATTAGTGCTCATTTAAGGATGCAAAATTGTAAAACTAATTTAAGCTTGTAGTTAATACACAAAAATACGAAAAAAAAAAATATATAAACCCTAGAAAGTTTAGGTAAAATATTATATGATAATAAGATCTCAATAATTTATCTAGGTAAATATTATGCAATTCAAAAGCAATTTCACTGTTGCTTTTGAATTGCATCACATTGTTCGAAAGAGAACCAGAAGAAAACTATAGCTAGCTACCTCAGGTACATGCATATGTCTCAAAAACATTCATTACTCTTTCTAATATTTTTCTCTAGAAAGACATGAAGTCAATATCCACTATAAATCAGTACAGCTTTTAGAAGTTGGAACATCACATCCATTTTCTCAACCACTAACATTTTGGATTATTAAATTTTTGAGTACATCTGGAGCATTTATAATCAGCCCACTTGAAAATCGATCTTGAATAATTTTATTTCCAGTTAATGAAACTTAAATGCAAGATCCACAAGTCTATTGAGTTTTTAAGAGCAAGTTTCCCTGGAATGCCATATATATAATTTTGTTTAAGATTGAGGCCTGGGGTGGGACATCGAGAGAAAAACCACCAGAGAAATTGGGAAAAGCATATTCACTTTATTCTTGAAACAACTTTTAGACTTTACCAGAAGTAGAAATGCCATACAATACAACTCTAATATTTGGGTACTTTGTAATGCATCACAGAGACATTTTAGGGTAGTCTCTGATGATGTTTTGACTCTGTAAAGGTCACACTTAATTGAGTTCTCCAACAAGGTTCACTGAAAAAAGAAAAAAGAAAGGATATTCACATCTGGAAACAAGAACACATGAAGAATATCATGTGTTTTTTATTCCTCTTTTCTCTTTTCTCTTTTCTCTTTTTATATAATATCCAATTTGTATCAGAAAACAACTGAGCCTCGATCTAGACATAGCGACATATAAATTGTTTGAGATTATAGTTATACAGATAAAAATCATGAAACTTAATTTTTCTCACACACACACACCTCTGTACAATTTTATATATATATGCAAATGCCTCTATACAATTAGATCATATATATCAGAATCAAGAATATAAGCACATTCAAGGATTCAACATAATCTCTTCATGTAGTGCCTCAAAATAATACCTTCAAAATCAAATCTCAATGAACCAAAATAAATAAATGGTAAATGAATAATATATGTTCAAGGATCATCTTTCAAAGTATAATGCTCATATGATCCATTAATTGCATATATAGCTAAAGAGGCAGTTACATATTGACAGATTATAAAATAGAATTTTCACACTGAATAATTATGATTAATAATTTTTTTTTTTTCTTTTTTGGAAAGGATAAATTTTCTTAAAAGAAGAAAAACTATACATCAAACTAGGGGCATGCCCTCAGAAGAGGTTTAAAGAAGACCAAAACAGATGTGCCCATCTTTTTAGACAAAAGGATGAGAGCATCAGCCCAAAAGGAAGCATGCAGGCTCCAAACAAAGGAGGGAGATGGACACAAGTGCCCTAACGGAGCTCACAGGCTCAAACCAAACAGAAAAGAGAAACGGATGTGGGCTCCAAACAAGAGCACACAGACTCCAAACAAACCAGACCAATTAGTCGAGCAGGTCTAGATTTGCTAATTATGATTAAGCACAATTGCTTCTTAAAGTAAGAGAATATTTAAAGAATATATCATACCCTTTATTTAATGTCCTGGAAGCATAGAATCAAGCCAATACCAATAAGTAAATTAAATAACTAGAAGATTTTAAGACATCCAAAAGACATACAAATCATCTTAAACTACTAAGTCAGATATTTAAGCCAATTAATTATATATTAGTTGTGCTATCAAATCCTTAGCTTTGATTCTTGAACAGTTGAATTAATCACACAAACTCCACAGATTCACTCAAGGTACTGCAGAGCATAATTTCTTATATCATCATCAGGCTCTACATACATATATATACTCATCGTATCAACAGCTTTTATTTATTTTGTTAAATTCCTTCTTGAAGCTTTTGAATATTTTAATAGTGAATCCTTCAAAGGTGACACCAAATCAGATAGTCCCAAAAGGACAATCCAACTTCATACCAACTAATAAAAAATTAATTAATATCATTAATTAATTAATCATGTCAAATTAAAGCTTGTCGCCCAAGTGGATTAGGAAATAGCCTCTCAAATCTCCCAATAATATTCCAATTTACATATATAAAACCACCCTCCTCTATGCAATATATTAATTACTTTACATACATTTAGCTGGCATCAATATTAGAAAAGATAAATCTAGGTTTTGTCTTTTTGCCTAATAATAGATCTGTTGAGATTATCTTTAGATTACTACACCAACCGGCTTCACCTTTCAAAGGCTCGTGAGTGTCCACCTCTCCTATATTTTGTCCCTCGTTAGACACATATTTTATTGGAATAAATTCTAAACAATTATTTAATTAAAACGGAAGAGAGAGATCAGATTGTAGTTTCCATGTTCGTGAAACATTCACAATGTCTGCTAGCTCCTAGCAATTGCTTTGTTTCAAATAAAAGTATAAGTGTTATAAATTTATAATTATAAAAGCCTTTCTTAATCATAATTGAGCTTGTAGCGAGCTCGATGGCTTTCACAATGTGGAAGACAAAATCTACATGCATATCTTTCTTGTATTCTGATAATATATGTATATTATGTATGTATCAATTTCGGATTTTCTATTTGTATATTTTGTTTGGACAGAAACGAGAGGGAATTTTATCACTATCAGTATATAAAGAGAAAGTTAAAAACTAGAAGAAAGAGTAATATCATCACTTGCTGCACTCATTAATTTGTACTACATTTTCAGCTACTTCAACAGTCCTCTGAAAGAGCAATATCATTTTGAAGGTACCCAAATAGCGAAAACATAATTCGTAATTTATAGCAATAAGCAAATCAAAGTACATTCAAGACACCTAAAATGAAACTTGCAAAAACAACACAAAATAAGTAAAAACATCCCTATACATTACTTATAAAGCAAAGTATTAACGCAAGACATAACCGGGTCTCTGTTGTTATTCATTTTAGTTTACTTAAAACATTTTTTTTTTTTTTCATTATTTTTCACCCATTTGAACCAGAATCAGATGGTGGTGGTGTAACTGTTACCTTCTGTTTCGGCCTCTTTCGCTTCTTCTCATAGCTAACGCCTCTCGCTTTGGCCTGAAAATCACGAACCTCCCTCAGATAAATCCTCACGGCTCTTGCACCAAACGGGTTCGCTTCAGGTCTCCCTCCGTGCTCCTCATAGGCCGCTCTGAGCCTCCCAATTAGTGCATCGAGGCTCCCCCACGCCTGTCGGAGGGGGCATGGACAGGGGGCAGGCGGGTTCGGGAGTCCAAAGAAAGGACAAGTCTGGTTGTGGACTTTGGTCTTCCCAAATTGGTCCAAGTAGCGGAGGAACTCAAGGACATGGGCGCCACTACACATGGGGAGAGAAAGAGGGGGCCTGTGGTTGCGGAGATACTGACAGAAAGTGTTCCAGTCTCGGCGTTTTTGGTTCTCATAGCGGCTTGGAGTCGTGGGAGTTGTGGAATTTGATGGCGATGGAGAGCTTGCGCTATTTGGAGTGTTTGGTGTGGTGGCGATTGGGTTCGCGTGAGGGGGGCTTGAGTAGCCCGCACTGTGTGGTGGTGGTGGTGGTGGTGAAACTAAATCCATAGAAAATGAAATTTTCTTGACCAGATCTTAAATGAGATGAGATTTGGTGATAATATTAGCAAGCTAGAGTTGGTCTTCGCCTTTTTTTTAGGGCTCTTTCCTCTAATATTTGGCTTCTCGTGATGCTATAGAGAACCCTAGAGAGTTGACTCTTGAGGTGTGTGGAGAAAACAGTGGAAGTGATGGTCTTATGCTACTAATTAGTGAGCTTGGAGCTGATGATGGTGAAATATTGAGCACTAGTCTAAATCTTCATGTAGAAAATCTGAGAGGTAGATTCTGCATGGAATCCATACTATTTCATGAGCGAAAGAAGAAGAAGAAGAAGAAGAAGAAGAAGATATGAAATTGAAGAGAGAAGAATAATTGGAGCTTTTAATTAGTTTGCGCAAAGAAAAACAAACAGAGCTGCAAGAAATGTGGAAAGACTGAAGTTACAAGCGGGTGGATGGTTACAGTAAGATACTTGAAGAAGGAAAAAGATGATGATGAGAGATCAGAGCCATCAAAACTTCTTTAAAAGAACTGAAGTTAAACTACTGGTTGATAAAGAGAAAGAGAGAGAGAAAGAGAGGGAGGGAGAAATCCAATGGGTGAAGAGGTCTTAAGTCTCAGGTAATAAGTAAAGTTGACAAGAGACTGTTTTTGCTAAAAATAGGACAGGATTTAGCAGTGAGTAAAGTTGATGGTGACCCATGGTTGTACACAAATTAAAATATGCTGTCATTTACTTTTATTCAGAGCGCGTCCAACGCAACACAACACAACAACACCCTATTGTCTAAAAGTTGAAAGATTGAATTGATTGATACCAATCTTACATGAATTTTATTTCAAGTAATAGAAGGAACCTTCACAGCAATTACCCATTTCCTCTCTCTCTCTCTCTCTCTCTCTCTCTCTCTTTTATTTTATTTTATTTTAATTTTCAATTTTTTTTTATTAAAGTAAAAATTAAAACTTATATGTTACTCATTTCAAATTTTTGTAGTAACATTATAAGCTAGATAGATTTTGTTGTTGTGATTTCTGACACCAACAAGAAGTACATAAGCTTTTGGGAATCTTCAAGCAAGGGTTTGTTTGAGACAGAGAATATGATGTTGAGCCAATGAAAAAATAATGACAATAAGAGTAAATAGATAAGAAGAACACAAAAACATATTTTAAAGTGGTTTGGATACAAAGCACAAATCCTATTGTCATCTTATTATTTTTCTAATATATTTTTAGTGTGTTTACAAAAGTTATTTACTCTTAAGTGAGACAATTGCTCCCACCTATTGAGAAAATGAAATTCTAGGATTCCTTATTTGAGGTGAGAGACCTCTATTTATACTGTTACAAGAGTGTTTTGCTCATGAAGTAACCCTCTCATCACACGACATGTGGCTTGACAAGCTGCCCTTATTGGAGACTTATTAGTGAAATAGTTCTCTCATGAAATAACATGCAACCTGGATGACAACTCAGTCGTGAACCTTACTATTGAAGCAACCTATGACGGCCTTACAAATGAAGTAACTCCTTCTTGGTGTGACACGCGATCTGGGCAGATGTATAATCACAGAACACATGGACGAGAGCTCGTGCTCCTTTTGTATAGTCACAAGACATGTGGCACAAATTCATGCCCCATGGATATATCGCATAACAACCTTACTTGATTTCTGTCATGTATAATATGTCGTTATGATATAAATGAGATTAAGTGGACGGTAATTATATATTAATCATGAGAATTACACTTTTTTTTTTTAAGAATATAATCACAAAATGTGATAATATATTTAAGAATATGAAACATTGAAATACATTGGTGATATTCTAATTAGTAACAAAATATAAATGATCAAAACAAAAGTTAGAAATCATAATAGAGAATATACGGTTCGTGCCTATTGTTGCTACCTCGTGAAGGATAGACACGGGTATGGTTTTGAGCTTAAAAGGGTGGATAGACAATATCACTTAATAGATGTTAGGGCCAAAAATCGTCCTCGGCCCAAATAAGAAAACGGGCCTGACAAGGAAGAAGCCAAGCCTAATCCCGGCCCATTTCCTAGGCCCATGGGCAAATCCAGGGCCCATGGCCCTTAGAATATTTTCCTATTCCCGAGCAATCTCCTATTCAAGGTCACCTTCCCGACTTACACTTTCCTACTCAAAGTTGATCTCCTAATCAGAATCACCTTCCTATCCGGACACTGGTAAGACAGCCTATCACGGCCCTAATTCTTCTAGGGTTTGTATCAGAGTCACATTAGGATTCCCTACTCCCACCAGGATTGGGAGACCAGATAGTCACTATATAAACAGAGGTCAACCCTCTCACAAAGGGGATTGACAATACACCTTCACACCCGAAGCTTCTACTTGAGAGCTTCACATCACGGTCGTAGTCACAGTCTCCGACTAGACTTTCGGTAACCTTTCTACTCCCTAGCCCTCACTATATTAGCCTCTTTCAGTCTTGCTGACTTGAGCGTCGGAGTGCCTACGGCGAACACCATTCTGGTGTTTTTCGTCGCTTCACGCGTGTTTCTTTACGTGTGCAGGTACAACAGATTGCTAGTGGCCTCAACCTCACAGGATCAATCCTTCCTTCCGTACCAGTAGATTTTTACGTCTACAATAGACTAATCTTTTAGGTAATTAGAAAACACATGATCGTGATAAATGGAAAAAATAAGTAAGTTTGTGTCATTATGTAGGCCGTCTGAAACAGTGGAATGATGCTATTTGGGTGAGTTTCATAAGACATTAGCCTAGGGGTTAGATTTTAGTTTGATCTCACAAGATATAGAGTTCGAATTCCCTTGTAAGAACCTACAAAATCAAAAACATTATTTTTCATTCCATTGAAGAGTTAGGGAAATGCTACAATTTCAAATTTAAGTTTTTAAAACGAGTTCAAATGATTTTTTATTTATAAAAAAAAAAAAAATTATGGTTGGTCAGTGTATTAGTTCACAAACAAATGTTGAAAGTATTCTTCCAATAATGTTTCCAAACAATCAACGTATCACTAAAATATTGTAAATCATGCAGTTAAGTAAATTGGGTTAAGCTTTTAGGTGGGATGACAATTTAACATGGTATCAGAGTTAAATGCCTCAAGTTTGAATCCCTACATACAAACTAAATAAATAAAAAAAATCCAAATTTGATGCAAGGGGTTCTATTGCTCTAATATATGTTGGCCTCACTTACAAGCTTAAACTTTTAGGTGGATAGCTTAATAATTGCTATTAGAAGTTTAGTATATTCTAAACCCAATAAACTTAAAATCCTCCCTGATGATGTTTGGTACAAGATGTTTTTCTAATCCTGGACTACACAGCCTAATTTATTATAGATTAAAGGCAATCCTATTGAGCAGATCAAGACCCAGCTTATTTCCCGTTCTTGTGCAGATTCTCATGCTGATTTTCTCACTAAATGTGCTCATCCATTATGAAAGAATTCAGAATTCTTTATCCGCTTCCATTCATCAAGAGCATAATTACACACATTTATATAAATATAATAACATTAATTTAATACATTTCCGTAGTAGTAATATAGGTGGGCCTTATTTCAAATTTACATACTTTTCTCATAAATTTTCATATCTATATTAGGGATATATATATAAATTTTCAGCGAAAAGATAAGTAAGAAATCTTTCATGAAAAGATTGATTTAGTTATCGTTGCTTTTAATATTTTATAATATTGTCTTCCCAAAAATCAGGATCTTGCATCAAACTTTGGTAATTCAGCAAAAATTTGAAGTTCACAAGAGCTAAATGGGGCATTATTGTGATTGAAGACAGGTAGTTTTCAGTTTAGGTGAATGGTCATAGCAATGCCTCCTCTTTCTTAAACCATTATGCGCACCTCGTATCACCATGAACAGTATTTTATCAATTTTCTTCTTATTTATATTTATAATAAAATTATGTATTATTGATGCTAGCAATGAATCGATAAATTAAAATCCGTACTGATTTGGAAATTCCTCTAACTACTTCTAAAGTCTATCGGCCTCAATTAACTCTTTAAATGAATAATAAAGATTGACTCATAATAAATTATCTCACAATTTCAAAGTGACAGTTCGTCATTGGATAGGTGGGACCTATTATTAGGTAAATGAAACCCATTGCGAGCTGTTTCGTCATAGTTATGAGAGAAAGTTTATGAAATTAAGTTGTAAATGTAGTATTGTTCATATAAAAAATATAAATATATTGAACTAATTATGAAAATATATTATTACTTCCTCTTCGGATTGGTAAAAATATAAGTATTTTTATGATGTATGGTCAAAATAGTGACAATTTCACTTCAAATGTTTACAATAACCACTCTTATTTAAAAAAAAAAAAAAAAAAAAAAATCTTACAAATTTCAGGTTGGTGGGTTCTTGATTAATAAAATATAGGATAAGTTCCTTAAGATTTAATTTAAAAGCATAAATACAAAAATGAATTGAATAGTCAATACTAATTTGGTAATATTTATGTAGTCGGTTGTATAATATATATGACCCAAGAAGAAGACATATAAGAATGAGAAAAAGCTTATTATATAATAGTTTATATGTCTGCAGAGACATAATGTAATGTCTCATTGTGTTGGATTTTATTTTAATAATTTATTAAATATTTATTATTATTTTGGCGTCATTCAAGATTTATTAAGAAATGTCTTCACGTGCTAGTTCGACCACGGGCCACACTAAACCACTTTAATTAATTTTACAGTCCAATTATTTATGAGCTTTTGGATTTGTTAATTATCTTTTGAGTTCCACGTTGAATTTTAACAAATTTAATTAGAATTAATTAAGGCCTTGAGACATGCATTATCTTGGGATTAATCTAATTAAAAACTCAAATAATATGTTATCTGATCCAATTCCTCAAGAAGAATATTCTTCTTTAACTCAAGAATTTATCTTCATCTAATTGATTGAAGCAACTCTTTGAATTGATTAATGATTTGTTTTCAACCTTTGGTTTCTTACTTAATGTGATTGAAGCAACTTTTAGAATTGATTAATGATTTGTTTTGAACCTTTGGTTTCTTACTTAATGTTGGGTGGTAAAATTATGCAAACTTAATTAACGCCATGTGTTCCTACATTGTCTTATCACCAGGAAGCGTGTCAGCTTATTAAAAGACACTTCCTTTAAAAGCCATGAGAAACTTCAAAGGAAAGGAAGCCAATCGCCTCTCAAAGCCACCTGTTAGTTTGCATGTGGAGTTCTTCACCCCTAAGTGGAAGTTGTCTTCTAAACCACGTGTTAACTAGCATGTGTACTACTTTATCTATAAGCCAACGAGTGCAGTGTCACTTGTCAAGTTGTATGTGGATTACTTCACACTAAGAGTTATATTTAGAACACTATAAATAGGGGTCTTCCACTCTAAACCAAGGATCCAGCTTCTAATTTTCTGAAGAGACATAGAGTTGTTATCTCTTTAGTGTAAATATCTTTTGTAAACACATCAATAAGATAACAGTAAACGTAGAATTGCACTTTACATCCGAATTACTTTAAAAACTATCCTTGTCTGCTCTTTCATTTACTTTTATGCATTATCTTTATTATT